AAACTGATAAATCTGATGTGATATCATAGTCATACCTTTACACTTATCACCACTCCATTCTGTATCACAATCACCAGGACTTAAAATACATTTACCTTTTGTAATTACACCCATTGATAAAATGATATCTATGATGTGATATCATAGTCATACTTGTACATTTATTACCACTCCATTCTGTATCACAATCACCAGGACTGAAAATACATTCTCCTTTTGTAATTACACCCATTGGTACAGACATATCTGATGTGATGTCATAGTCATACCTTTACGCTTATTACCACTCCATTCTGTATCACAATCACCTGTACTGCTAATACATTCTCCTTTTGTAGTTACACCCATTAGTAAACTAACATATCTGATGTGATATAATAGTCATACCTTTACACTTATTACCACTCCATCCTGTATCGCAATCACCAGGACTGCTAATACATTTTCCTTTTGCAGTTACACCCATTGGTTCAAACATATCTGATGTGATATCATAGTCATACCTTTACGCTTATTACCACTCCATTCTGTATCGCAATCACCAGGACTGCTATAAAACTCTCCATTTGTAATTACTGCCTTTGATGAACTGTCATGTCTGATGTGATATCATATTCTTACCGTTACAATAATTACCACTCCATCCTGTATCACAATCACCAGGGCTGCTAATACATTCTCCATTTGTAATTACAGCCATTGATGAACTGTCATATCTGATGTGATATCATAGTCATACCTTTACACTTATTACCACTCCATACTGTATAACAATCACTAGGACTGAAAATACATTCTTCTTTTGTAATTACACCCATTAGTAAACTGACATATCTGATGTGATATCATAGTCTTACCTTTACACTTATTACCACTCCATCCTGCATCACAATCGCCAGTATTGCTAATACATTCTATTTTTGTAATTACACCTATTGGTAAACTGACATATTTGATATGGTATCATATTCATACCTTTACACTTATTACCACTCCATTCTGTATCACAGTTACCAGGACTGCTAATACATTCTTCTTTTGTAATTACATCCATTGCCAAACTGTCATATCTGATGTGATATCATATTCATACCTTTAAACTTATTACCACTCCATCCTATACCACAAACACAATGACTGCTAGATCATTCTCCGTTTGACATATCAATAATTATTCATTCAATACCTTGACAGGATACACCGCTATATCCATTTGCACAAGAACCCCCATTGGTGCATATTCCTGTTGTTATATTGCATCCATGGGTACAGTGACATGTCTGTGTACATCCTGCTCCATATGTACCAGAATGACAATCTAGTAATATAATTATGACGTCATCAGTTTTGAAAAGTTTAATATGTTCAATGTATTCAACATATCATTAGATTACCCCTGACTTAAAGTCCTCAAATAATGCCTTTTCAGACATATATATCTCACACTGGGATCCAGCAACCACAAAAACCTACCAACCATCTGGCAGGCATGAATTGCCTTTTAATTGAAACTGAGAATCAGTATTTGTAGTCTTAGCTTACGGCAGTGATTTGCACCCATATATTCCATTACATGTTGAACATACGTTTTGATATTGCTTATTGTAAATAACGTGTGTGCGTGTACATTGTGAGATCTAAACAACATCGAAAGTGCCAATGTACATAGACAGCAGTGTGTATCAAACACCAGAACACTTTGCATTGATGCGCTAGAGGTACAGTGAAGTTATTGCACACCGCTCACATTGTTCACTTCATTGTTTGCATTGTGCGCGCATATACTGTATATTGATGTTAAATTGCCGGCAATACCAGTATATATTTACTTAAAATTGTTGCTATACCATGTATTCCTTGCAAATGTCTACCAGTAAAACAATTGAGACTGTGCTTTTCATCGAAAAGTTGACTTTTCATAAAATACAAACTGAATGACCAACTATAATGTCACACAGAAAAATTGTAATTTATGGAATTAATATGTATCTTTCTACGAATTTGGGTGGTCTTGCATAGGATTTTTGGTTTCAAATATAAATGTATACTGATTAACATAGTGGGCACGCAGATTTAAGCATTGGTTTATAAAATTATTGGGATTGTTGGTAGAACTCACTTGTACTGTTTGTGGGTGTAGTTGTTGCACTGACACAACAAATTTTACCGTATAATCTGGCCGAAGAATTTTACTGCGAAATGCATTTTGATGTATTTTTTTATGAAGAGGCTATAGTGAAATATTTTGATGGGTCATACATGCCCTAGTTTCCGATTATCACTAATAATGACAACAATATAATTATAAATGGTAAATTAAATATACCATCGTACGAACAAATCGTATACGGTTCCACCCAACACACCAACAAACTATCAAAGCAGTTTTCAAGAAATAATTGATAATAACAAATCTGAAAAAAAAATCACGAAAATATTTGCTAAACATAAGAAATGAAAGATATATATTATAGTAAACAGGTTTCTAAATGGTGACTAGCACACCTTTTTGAATGTAAACATCGTTAGTGCGTATTGGTTCCATACCTGTAATTATCAAGTAGTAACCATTGAAAAGAGTGAGGGGTCACAAATTCTGATATAACATTATTGGAATTTCAAACTAATCATTTTGTGGGCTATGTAATAAAGTTAATGAAAAAAAGCTTTGTTGTATTCGTTGATTTATTCAGCCATATTTTCAGACGAATATAACAAACGAATTCCAACTATTTAATTACGTCAAACTGAGATCTGCCAACAAAGCGTATAGATTAGTGTGTAGACCCGAATAATGTAGCAGTCAACTGCGCGTCAAAATAATAACATTAGCATTATCAGAGGTACTCAATTCAATACAAAATAATATGACATGCTACTCAATACAAATGATATTATAAGGGGGAGGCTATATTATGTGACATTTTACAATTTGCTATTAGGTTTAAGAACAATTATACACATATTACCCATCACTTTCAATAAATCTATGAACATTTTTCAAGTCTCCTTGTGTTGAAATCCATAAATGGAATTCAGATACATGTGCACATAAAAAAGATGAGCAATCTTTGAACAATTAGTTCTACTGTATCTAGTGTATCTTTTGAAATTACCTTCTGTTTGACAATCTAATCCTCCATGTGATGCAAGACATGAACATCCATATGGATCAGAAACACAGAACATCCTTCCTGTACAAGCTATAGCTGTATTAATAATTGAACATTTGCGCTCACATGACTTTCCCCAATAGCCTCGTGCACAACCTAAAATATAGAAACACTTGTTGACAAATAGTCTAATGCATTATATGTGCTGATTGAAAATGTTAACCATTAAACTGAAACTTGTAATTTTGAAGATTTCAACACCGTGAATGCTGATTTGTTTGATGAAATTAACATATGATTACGTCATCTTATTTATGCCAGCGTGATTAAAACAATGTTGGGGTAACCTGAACTAATAATTATGGTAAATGATCAAACTTTAATTTGTGCACAGGTTTATATGGCGAAAATTATGTATTCATATTTTCCCAAGTTGCATAGAATGGACATTTTGTACATTATATTCATATGAATCTTACATTTAGTTTGTAACAGGAAAACGCATATAGATATGCAATTATATGAATGAAAAATTAAGATAAACTACACTATAGATAAAACAACTATATATGAAGATAAATTGCAATACATAAGTAAGGTAGAAGTGCCCTGATAAAAGATGGCATTAATGAAACAATGAAATTACACGGCGGTGTAGTAAAAACTACAAATTGAATACATTTGAGAGAAGGGGGCACAACGAAATTTGAGACAATAGATTTCTTCCATGGTTAAATAATCCAGCTTAATTAGCTGCAGTGCTTCTACGCCGTGAGCGTTTTACGTGCACCACACCTATGCTCATCGAGAATGCTCTAAGTTGAGTAACGTGCAAATACAGATTCACAAGAAAACCATTACTTTCACGTCAAAGGAATGCTGACATTTATATCTGGTGCGTGGTGAATTGCACTGCAACATTTACTGCGTATTTCCCTATGGTATTTTCCACCAAGCAGTGTATGCACACAAACCCATGCTATTGATTCTTATAATAAAATATTGCATATTTATTACTTAAATATTAAAAGTATACTTTCAGTCATTGTTAAGACTTTTTTGCACAGTGAGATGATTCCTGTCGCACATGTCAGATTGTAGTTCACAGCTGGTTGCAGAACCCCATAATGATGTTGTATGCTTGATGTCATCCCTCGTTCAGTATAGGGCCATTGTGTAGGTGTGACCAACTGTATGGATCCCGGACAGGACTATAGTGATCCAATGATGCAGACCTAGTGGCAGGCATTTCCATCAAAACAAAGTCTAACTTGATAATCTTCATACATGACTGTTTCTGCAAAGGTCTCGCTTTGTTTAACCCAAAAGCACATCCTTTCTTATCGAGCAGTCAGAATGATAATCAGACAATATCGCCGCGAGGGTGATGAATCATGCAGTTCATGTCATTACCGACGCCTAGCAACACAAGCGACAACAATCGGCATCGTGCCAGATTCCCAATAAACAAAACTTCATAGTGCGAGAAACACTAGCATCACCGCACGTATGTCACACAGGATGTAGGTCGTTACGCAGATCATTGACACCTCCACACATGACCATGTTTTCACTGAAAATTCCAGACCCTTTCGCCAGACATTGTGTGTCAGTCATCTAGGAATTGACAACCGATCAACGTAAACAACTTAAATTTGTTCTTTGTCGTTGAATGAGTTGTTGAAGCTCAAGAATGCCGACACAGTTCCCCAACAGCTAAATTACTGACAAACTATGGAAGTGTTAATTTACTAGCAGCACCCAAATTCCTAGCTTGTGTCATATATAGGGGAAAATCTGAAGATTCTACGGTATTACCCGGAGGAGCTTTGTAATTTCGAAAAACATTATACCTCATATAATTTATTTCAGTCGACATAATATAGTGAACGAAAGAACAACTACTCTTCAGAAATATATTGTAATTTTCGTTTGGTAAAATTAGATTTGTTAGTGGGCATAAACAACTTACAATAGGGGTTACAGCAAGGATATTTGGCAACCAATATTTGACCAAAGATAGGACCAAGGATTATTACATTAATTATGATCAAATATCACAGACAAAAAAATAATATATATTAAATATGTAGTTATTGGAAAATAAACGTCGACTAGTTAGTTATAAAACCGAATGAACTTTTTAGTGCTCTTTGATTTCTCTAACATGAAATATTGTGATTGTTATGCATTTTTTGTTGCAAATAGAAGTAGTAATAACAAGTAAGCAGTAAATGACGTGCATCTGTACATTTTAGGAATACACCTTTGTAGAGAATGTCATGAAAATGAATCAAAGTTTTTTAGACCAAAAATGATTTTAACTTTAAACTACACTTTTTTATCTCAAAACAAATTTTAAACATGCACGGATCATTGTAAAATACCAATACCAGTCAATATTTAAATTAATACTATATGCATCGTATTAATCTGAATGTCCTTTATATATGTATATATAGGCAGGGAAATGTAAGTAAAGCTGAAAATAATTTAGTTTGGTTTCAGAAATTGTAGAAGTCAGGCTACCTTAGACTATTATTTGCAGTGTAAATACTCATACAGGCAACTAGTTCGAGATAAGAAAACTAATTATCAAAGAAAAAAACGTGATGATTTTTTAAAAATGGCGATGCAACCTAAATCAAAAATTTTTTGGAAGAGTTTGAAATCTAATCGGCCCAGTGTGCCAGACAGTATATCAGAGGTTGAATGGTTTAACTATTTTAATGATTTATTTACCCACTAACCTTGATGGAGAACGAAAATCAAAAAAAGTTTTTCGCATCAATCAAAAACTACATGGATGATTTAGAAGATAACGTAGTGTTACATAGCGAATTTAATGTTTCTGAATTTGATAGGGTTATTTCTTTGGATAAAATTAGGGTAAATTTAAGTAAATTAAAGACAAATAAAGCCCCAGGACCAGATGGCATACCCACAGAATTTTGGGAAAATGCTCTCATAGAAATCCATGAAATGTTATTTGTTTTATACAACAAGGTATTTGGCTAGGGAATCTTTCCTGATGAATGGCGTAAGGGATTAATATTGCCTGTATACAATAAGGGAGACAAGGATGACCCTGGTAATTATAGGAGTATTATGTTATTTAACGTCATAAGTAAAATTTATACAAGTATATTAAGTAATAGGTTAAATACCTGGTTAAAACATTATAATGAAATTGTAGAAGAACAAAGTGGTTTCCAGAATGTTTTCATTTTACGTACTCTTGTGGAAAAATATGTCGTTCAGTTAAAAGGTCGTTTATATCGTGCATTTGTAGACTATGAGAAGGCCTTCGATAGGGTACATCAATGCTCATTGTTTTACAAATTATCGAAAAACGGTCTCGAAGGCAAATTATTTAATTCTTTATATTCAATGTACCAGCATGTAAAGGCAGCAGTGAAAACTTCCTGGGGGTAACTAACTACTTTAATATTAGTATGGGTTTGCAACAGGGCTCTGTGATTTCACCTCTTTTATTTTGTTTCGACATTCATGATCTTCATATAAATTTTTCGACAAGGTCATGAAACTGTAGTTTACCTGTGTGCTTTGAAATTGTGTTACCTATTGTATGCAGATGACCTCGCTCTGTTAAGTAGTACACTTGTTCGTTTACAACGATTATTGAATGATTTGGCAGACTATTGTTCAAAGTGGAGACTTACAGTGAACCTTAAGAAAACTAAAATTATTGTTTTTTGGAAAGGGGGACAGTGAAAAATGGTTCTGGAAGGGTAAAATCATTGGAATTGTTTCAAAATATTATTATTTGGGGGTTATACTTTCCAGTTCTGGAAAGTGGTACCAGGCACAAAAATATGTTTCTCAACAGGCTAGTAAAGCACTTGTTTGTTTGGAAAAAAAGTTACCGAATCTGGGTTGTCTGCCACCTGATGTTGCTTTTCGTATATTTGATTATAAAATTCTTCCAATTCTCCTCTACGGTAGTGCTATTTGGGGCACACATTCTGATATTAATGATGTGGAGCGAGTACACAATAAATTTTGCAAATATTTACTAAGTGTTAGTTTTGTTGCCACTAATTCCGCTGTTAGGGGAGAATTGGGACGGCATTATCTTAGAGTGTATGTAAATGTTCAAATTATTCGTTTTTGGTTGAAAATAATAAGTGATGTTATCTCCACATATTTTAAAAGAATCGTATAAATTTCAACTTACTATGGCAGGAGCGGGTACATGAAACATGAATTAACATGTGAGAAATATCTCACAAATATTGGTCAGTCTTCTGCAATATACAGAAATGCTTTATGTAGATTAAGGATCTCGTCCTATGCACTACAAATTGAAAATGGTAGGGCAGTGGTACTCCACGTAACCAGAAGTCGTGCCCTTTTGGCTGTATTGTAATTGAGGACGAATACCACTTTACATTAGTTTGTTCCAAATATAACTACCTAAGGTTGAAGTTTATTGCACAGTATTACTACTCCCGACTTACAGAGATAAAGTTTATTTCATTTCAGAATCAAACCCCATATATACAATTAAACTTTGGTAAAAAATATTTTATAGTATTCAAGTACGATAACTTATGCTTGGAGAGAACACTTAATTATACAAATGTTACGTAATATGATTTTATATTTGTTTTTTTCTTTACATTCCAATCTAATTTATTATGTATGTATCTGTACATAAGGTCAATGGCCACAGTACGAAATAAAGAGATATATTATATATATATATATATATATATATATATATATATATATATATATATATATATATATGTGTGTGTGTGTGTGTGTGTGTGTGTGTGTGTATATGGGTGTGTGTGTGTGTGTAAGCAAAATTAAATAATAGCCAGATTTCAAAGGGTGGAAAATTTCACTTGTCGTTTTTTATTTAGTGTACTCGCTCGGTGTACTACACTTACCTAGTTGAAAGATCTTTCAGAGCATATTACTAACATCTGGTCCTAATTATCACAGTATAAATGTCTTACCTGTATTACAGTCATCTCCTGTAAATCCTGGTGGACATATACATTCTCCAGTGTCGGCATTACATATTCCTCCATTATAACATGTAGGACAGTTATCTAGACATGTATCACCATATTTACCATTAGGACAACCTGTAATAATTAGAACATCGTGTGTGACATGTACTTCTGGGCAGTAAACTTAAAACTGCTTTCCAACTTTGCATTAATTTGCAGAAAACAGGTCGATCTGGGTTCTGATAGAGAGTCAGGGCTGACTGAACGTTAATCGCGAACGCTAATTCAATGTGAAAAAACCTGTTATTCTTTGTTGTTCATGTATATGGTGACGTATATTAAATAGTATAACAGAAAATGGATACGAGTTGAATAAAGTAATTATTATCATCATAAGGATATCGATAGAAATGTTTGAGTTAAATAGCAGATCGACGAATATGAATGTGATTTTGACACTGTTCGAAATGGCCCAGAGTGGTTCTCGCGTCGGTCCCGACTAACGTGAACTAGTGTAATTCCTCAGTAAACACGAAGGATTATAAATGTCGCCACCGGACGAGATCCTGTAACGTCAAGGTCGTAACTCACTCCTGCAAGTACTAAACAGATCAAGAATCAAGTAGTCTTAGACAATGACAAGCATGTTTCATCTGGTGATTGAACACCACAATAGCTCAGAATTGTTAATCTATGCCAAATACGGCAGTAAAATATGAAAGGTTATACGCATGAATTATTTGCCTCAATAAATTGGTTTATTCATACTAAAGTTGCTAGTGATATATTTATCATATTATCCATCACATTGGATTTGGATAATAAACGGTGTGACGTACTATTGATGTTGGAAATAAACACGTTGCTGTATGGTACAAACAGGTCAGATTTGCGCGTGGATGATAAACATTGAGCAAGTTCTAAACTGATGTCCCCTCCTTCACACACACACACACACACCTTCATAGGTATGTTCGTAACACTTTAAACAGTTCTTGTCGCTTTGACATACATACTAACACATATTGAGAAGAATGCATTTTTGAGAGTTTAAATATTTCAAAGTGCAACAGAACCCGACTCCGTTTACACTGACATTATAATCATTTTCATTTCTTGATTGACTGTAGTGCAATTGGTCACATTGATTAATCAATAACCGACACTAACTCGCTTGCACGATTTTTATTGTAGTTACAACCCCATCTATGAAACAAAGGAAACAATAATTATAATTGATAGTCTTAAACGTTCCGCGCCCGTCGTAAATATTTCACGATCTAGCCATGTTACTGCGTGGCAGAAAAAAAAACAACTCCTCAAGTGCTGATTCCTTCTCTCAATTGAAAGTCAACTGCAGTAAAAGAAATGTCATAATATTAGCATCAAAATGGCACACAACTAGTAACTTCTCTCGGTAGTTAGACCGCAGTCTCGCGATGACTTGATGCTCTTGCATGATTACAATGAGCCACGCTCCACTGTTGATTATTCATATGATCAAATTAAATTTACACAAATGACTTGAAGTAAAGTAAGTAAACGTTAATATAACTAAAATAAGTGTATAACACACTACATGAGCAGTGGTTCCTGAATGATAACAAGTTGGTTCAACGGTTATTTAAAATTAAATAAATAATGTTGTTGATTTTCTATAGGCCGTACTATGGACCTTGTCTCTAAATACTATCAAATGCTTTTCTAAAATAGATAACATATCAAATAGGTGTATCTGGAGGTACACCCTTCATAATGAATATTTGGCCTGTTTAACTGTCTCTACGGTGTCACCTCGAATTGCTACTACAATGCTTAATTCTGGCTCAAGTATTATATTATAAAGTTTAACTATCACTGAATTCAATGTAATCCCTCTGTTGAACAAACGAAAATGAGATTACATGCAAAGTATCTTATTAATATGCATAGTCATGACCCTAAATCTCATTATGTCTGCACATTATACCTATGCACTAAATTTGATCAAAATCCGTTAACGAGTTTTTTGAGATTTTGCTGACAACCACACCACACACGCATTTATATATATATATTTTTAAATTAAAGATTTTGTTTATCCGTTATATTTTGATTTGTTTTTTGATTAGATTACTTTGCCAATTAACTCCCTTCATTTATGTCCTGTCGGTTTTGTTCGCCAAAATCTTTACAGTAATTTAATACTTATGAAATAATACAACACGAATTATTGTACATAATAAAGCAGAACTAATAGTAAATTAGGCAAATAAATTACTTTTTACTGGCTACTGTGTTCCTCGTTTAATATAACAAAAGTATGTACTATATGTATTCGATCAGGTGCACTTCTGTTTTCACGCGATGATTATTGTACGTGTGCTTCTCAATATGTAAACTGTGAATATTACAGGTGTGTGAATCGCACGTTATTGTCTAAAAATCGTACACCTCTGAATTATGTGTTTTCATTATACTTTATTTATATACTTTAATATAAAATTGTTATTTTTATTACAAAAATGTGAATTGTAATTATCACTGTGAATCCAATTTTTTATTATATTGTAAGTCAACTTCGTACATCAACCGGATATGATTATAGTGAACAATACGTTGAAAGTTTTATCTAATTGATTGTGTCATCCTCAACCAAACAGTAGTACATATACATGCGTGGGTTTTTAATACGTTTACACATTTTTTTTGCATAGCATCAACGCAAGATAATTAGTTCCACCTCGTTGTTTTTTAGATGAAAAACAGAGAACCAATAAGTACTACGTCAGACTAGCGACAGTATATATTGCTAAATATAAAAAATCTATACCACAGTAACTTTTGTGAAGTGCCTAGATTTCAATTTGTACTTAGTTATTTATTTAAGTATCAGTGAAAAATACACGTCTTTGTATTTATTTAAATTATATCCAACAAGTTAACTAACTGACCATTTTTTATTTCTATTCTCCGATAATATATACTTTTCATACTATCCAGTTGTGACCACACAGTTGTATTGACTGTTACTTCTATACATAGTTACTATGTGTGACGAAGTCAACTTTCTTGATCACTTTCTATAGTTCCTTATTTTACTTAATGTGAACTATATTAATCTCAATGTCCCAATACAATTATAACATTAAATTGTACTACTTGCCACTTTTTATTATTTATATCTATAGTGGAAACATATCTATTTACTATACTTATCTATTTGTCTGATCCTGTGGCACAATACTAATATCTGGTTCTTGTTATAACCAGTTTAAATTACTTATTTCTACAGATTTTCCTAATATCTTGAAAATCGATAGTTTTGTTGACACGCAAGTGTTAATATCACAGCAGATATAAACTGTCCCTCGTTAATTTAATGGGCTACAGAGAAATAGTTTCACCTCTTATGCGGGATCTTGTCCCCCCATTACCACGCACACAACAGAATTCCAATATATTCAGGGTGACTCCAAATGTACAAAAGAGCGTCACTGGATAATATATAGACCTGTACATACAGAGATAATAAATTAAATATCAAACATACAAAATAATAATTATGCTGGCTGACAGAGTAATAATTATAAATTCATGTTTAATCATCATGATTCATTACAAGAAATTGGAATATCTATTCGTGTGTGTAGACACTGTTCCAAGTATTGCGGCCATACATCAGACTTCGATAATACGGGTAGAGTAATAACATTACTTAAAACAATATTTAAAACAAAATGAACTTACGTCTAACAATTAGTCTCATAAAACCATTTAGTCCGTCTTGTCGTTGTTTTTGAGTAGTATAACATTCATAAATTCCAGCATCTGATGGTTTAGCTGATGTAATAGTAATACTACTTTGTCCATTCCATGCTTCTATATCCACACCATTATGTTTCCATTTCAATTGTGATTCTGATATTGATGCTGATTGTATGGTCATTTTCAGTGTTACATCATCTCCCCAACTCACTGTCTTGGTTTGACTCTCTGGGTATATTTCAGCTATAAAAGAGAAGATAAAATTCTGTTAGTAAATCATTAAAAACAAGAAAATGAAGCACACTGCTGATGTTGATCTGTCGAGCTGAATCGATTTTCGCTATATCAAATATGTTGAGACATCTTCGTAAAACTGGAAGTGCTACGCAGGAGAATCCAAGTGAAACACGGTTTTCATTGCATACCGACGACGGTACAATCAGCGTATACATGTTCTATGATTCATTTATAAAAGTATTTATAAACATTACACATATATGGAACAATATACCATTATAAGTATGTCACCCAACAGCAGCTGTGTTTGTTTTGCCAAAGTGATCTAAATAATGTAACCCCCGAGCCAGCGAGTTAATTCCAAGAAAGACAAAATTGACTTAAATCCGTCACAGTAACACAGTTTGAATGGTCTGAGAAATAAATATTACTAACTAGTTGTATACTTGTTGACAGCATGTACAAATTAAAAGACCGAATATTATTGTTTCCGCTTGACGCATAGTAGCATGAGAAATATATATATGTGTTGCTAGTACAAAAAAACTGATATTCTCCAGCACTGATACACTAGTTTAATGCTGTTGATTGCTGGTGTACTAAAACTTAATTGATTCTAATGTTAGTGCAAACAGGGTCGGGTTCACGTGAGTCTTGAAATACCTGATCGCGACAGGCATTGTCATTGTTTCGTGGAATTTTTAGTACCATGTTCGACTAAATATTGCGATTCAGTTCGAGAAAATACTTGATTTTAATGAATTTCAAGCGTTCGAAATTAGAGTTTTGTTGCTCTTTCTAAGAAATGCTTATGCTGCTTATAGAAATGTTGTTCCAATTATGTCTTTGATACTGAAGGAATATTACTCAGCCAATCATGCACTGGATCCCAGACTGCATGGTGACAATCATCACCGGTGTCGTAAGCGGGCGTCTACAAGTGACAGAAGTATATTGTTTGTTAACTCTCCTTTTCAAGTAATCAACAGTTGCCAGAAGTCGCAGTATTTAATATTACAAAAGTATTTAAATCCGTATAATATATTACCCAACAGAAAACTTTTAATCAGTAATCAGTGTTCATTATAATCTCAGAGAACTTATGACGCTCCGAAAATGCCTACAAGCTTTGAAAAAGTAAACTGAATTAATGTTGCTAACCGACAATTATTTTATTATTTATAGTTTAAATATTACGTAGTTTGTGAACAACAACTACCATTCCAAATGGTATAACCTAGAATTCTCGAAAAAGTACATGCGCCAACGCATTAAAAAAACAATACTCTATCTTTGACCTAGATTTTAACAATATGAAAAACTACAACAACAAAGCATTCAGAACATTTTTGGCAATTCCAGTCGATTTGAACTGATTTCCACTTCGATCGGGGCACATTAATTTGGCAAAAACAAATATATCACGGTCAACATCAAAAGTACCGAGCATATGACGTGTACCAACGTAACGATACAAATTTGTCCAATTTCGGTTAATATGAGAATTACCTGCATGTCATCCTGTATCCAATATGTAAACTACGGCGATATAATGGATATACAGACATCCTGTAATGTACATATAATCTCAAACCCGGATTACAATGCATTCATTCTTATTACTAAATATCTTAAAAAATACGCAATAGAATTTGGATTGTGGTCCCAGAAAGATCACAAAGATTCATGTCTTTTTCATTCTGTGCATGTTTTGATATTCGGTTAACAGCTCAATTTAGAATCAATAGAATAATAGCCAATAGAGTGGCCAATGTGTAAAAAATGGATTAAGTAGAGGCAAATCAAACTTTGCATATGTTTGTCTCTAACGCATACTTTTTAGTTCAGTTAGTGTATCCAGGAGTCCGACCGCAAACTTAAAAAATGTCTATGACTGACGGAAATTAATGATGTAAATAGTCTATTCAAAATGTACTAGTTCTAATCCGTACTTATTCGGACAACTTGCAGCCGATTTATCATAAATGTAGCTATCGTAACTCTAACGGACGATCATATTGCTCGCAACCTACAACAAAATATATATGTCGATTACGTCATCACCGGTATTAGCAACACCTCAAATAACATTCAATTCACCTCCTATCTTGGTAACGTATAGCTGTTTTCAAATCATTATGATTTACTCTAATTTTGTTTCAATTCTATTTTAATTATGCCCAGTGAACTGCAAAACAAATATGACACTTTCTCTCAGCTACACTTGATATTATCCTCGCCAATACCGGAGCAATTTTTCTCCATGGTTGTGGTGTTGTGAAATTGTGAAGAAAAACAATCCACGAGCTTGTACTTAATACAAACAGTTGCAAATTGACGACAGAACAGAAATTTTAGCCTTCAAAGGCAATTGAAAAAATTGACCGGAGTACCTGTTTTCTCTGAAACATCGGGCCATTAATAATTAATTTAAATAAGTTAAAATAAAGGTAATGAAAGTGAATGATAAACATATTTGGGTCTAAAGTGGCGCGACATCATAAGCGTCAAACCAGCGAAACTCCCAAACGTCTGGTCACTCACATAAAAACGAGATATTGTTGGTTACAGCGCAAGCATATGAGATCCCTTGGGCTTAGCTTGCAAACTCTGTGGCTATTTAACCATAATTGGAAAAGGGTTTTACCAAACTATTACCTATGAGAGTAATATGAATACTGAAGACCTAAACTATGTCAACAACATTGATATCTACTGTAGTTTACAATGAAGATCACCAACGTAGAAATACACGCCTTCGCAGATGCATAGAAGGAGAAAAACTGTGGTGCAATTATTAAACTGCGCATGTTTTTCGCAAAATCCAAAGTCACGTCAATTAACCGTCAGACGTCAGCAAGAATAACGTCGACAGAAAATAATGATAATAATTTTCATTTTTAAAGAATACTCTCCGTATCCTATAAGATTGCTCTACGTGTATTAGAAGATGGCATTATAGTTTAGCGTCAATAACATTTAAATTATGTAATAACATTTCAAATTTAGTATAAAGATTATATTACTATAGTTGTATGCATACAAACAATAACAATAACATATTATGCTCACCTTGTGATGGCACTAGAACGGTTTGTAACCTGAAACCTGAATGATCACAGTAGTATACACCAGGTAGATCATAGCCTGCTGGGATGGTCATCCTCCTTGCATAACCACCCTGGTTTAGATAAGACACGCCACTTGGTAGTGCAGCCCCTGCACCTGTATCTATTACTCTACCAAATGTAAATGAGGTTGACTTATCACTACCAGCTGAGTACCCACCAATGACAGTACTCGCAGTCTTACTTGGTAATGCTTTCATACTAAATAAGGTGATATCCTTATACGCAACTGGTGAAAGAACAACAAAACACTCATGAAAAAGTATCAAAATAAGAATATGTGATAAAGCCTCAACATCAATATATATAGAGGGTGGTGGATATTATGGCTATCGCCGAGGTAGTCGTGCTATATCTAACATACACACCGAGCGATGAATTGCAGGGAAACACCCCTTATTGTATAATGAAATAACCTAAAATCAATTGTATTCTCATTTGAGGTCAATATTGTTCGAATTTTCCATAGAATCGTTATATACATATGGGACAAATAATTCAGATTTCAACCAATCAGATTGATTGAAATATAACCCAGGTGATTCTAGGAGTTGGTGTGATTCGCCTAACTGGCTATTAAGGGATATAGTTAAGGAGCCCAGAAGCATGTTCTCTCATTTTGGCATTGTTGGGACAATGAGTATTTTCAGACGTCAATGAGGACGAGTTGATCGAGGCTACCCAGGCTGCCGAGTATCTGAATGAACTTGACTTGGAAAACGTTAATTTGTAAGATTTGCATATTCCTAGGGTACGTGATATCCTGCTCTTTGATTATTATTACTACGAACACCTTTTATTGATATCAAAAAACTGAATGACATGTCATTTATATTGTTTCTAGGACATCCACGTGGACGTTTTGCTGATCTTGTGGCCGATTCGACAGTACGAACAGTTGCTAAAGATGCAATTCCTACAGTGACGCAAACTGTGGGCACTTCATGTATTCAACGAATGGCCATGATCCGCAATAACACGCATATGGAACGCAATTCTGACGAGCACGTGAAAATCCTGCAAAGTTTCGATGTAATTGATATAAAAAATGTTATTATTGGTTGACTAAATTTATTTTAGAGGTGAGAAAGGTAGACGGAAATTGCTACCAAAAATATAACTCTCGCTGGTTATGGGAGTACATTACATAAAGTTACATAATGTTTACAACTGTGTTTTGAATATTACTCTATAAAAAATCGATTGATTTCTTGTTGGTTTCAAATCATTGTAATAATTTTGATCAGTCATGATGTAATAAGTATTCATAATTGTTTCTTGTTTGCATGTTTATTCGTAGGTAGGTCGCGATATAATTCCTAGGCTTCACCGCGAAATGATATCACGACCGTATCGACGGAGTGATAAATTCAAGGCAAGAGATGAAGTCGAGTGTAATTTCTGATATCCTGTCGAGAACCGAGGGTGGTCGATCCCATTGCAATGCAAGATCGCCCCACTACGCGGTCATTCTCGAAAATATCGCCCACTTTTTCTATTGTTTAAATCACTGCCAGATATGTATATCGAATATTATATGAAGTCAATTGGCTGTATCTATAACAATGTACGTACATGTAATGGGCAGTTTTTGATAGTGTGTGTAAACTATCAGTAAGTTTCAAAGTTAAAATATACAAAAATGGTGCGCATGTGCAATATATTTAAATTAAAGCTGATTGATGTTTCATATTTGGCAGAATTAGAAATTGGCTAAGATTGGACAATTAAATAAGACATTAATCCGGTGAAATGACTGTTTGAATGCCGTCGTTTTATTGAGATAAGTGCTATTTAGTAATAACGGAAACGTACGTGGCCTTGATAGTAACATTGGCTGCGTGTCGTAACTGATGTGCATAGTTGTCATATTATTTAGAATGACACATAACTGTTGAATAATTCCTGAATTATAATTTCTGGTAGTTTCAGATGTCAACTAAATTGCATCTGTCTCGTACGTAATTTTAAAGATATTGTCACATAGTTTCTAGTGGCGGATTATTAGTTTAGAATGCACTATGGGAACGTCACCAGTTTCACGGGTCATTAAAAGTGATGAGAAGCAAGCGCTAATCCAAATTAACAGGTATAAAGTTCACTCTCTTCATATAAATCAACGAATGTATCTAGGACCATTGCAAATAAATTATTTCACACAATAAGAGTGTTGTAAGTGATAATATGCATATTTATGTAATTTTTTTCTTATTAAGAATAAGTTTCAGTCAGTGAATTGACTGATAGTACCGGGGTCAACAGAATGTCGAGTCCTGTTATCAGTGACTGGTGTTGGAAATATGCCAGTAGATCGACTTTCATTCATAGTGAATTTCAACTCTGTAGTAATTCACACTGCCACGAAAGGAACAGTAAACAACCATAAACGATATTAATGATATTCGCGAGATGAAACGCATTGGGCAACTTTTTGTCTAAAATACCCTTACCAGGAAGACTATTTTGACTCTTATGGTAGTCATGTCACAGAATTTAGGAGATTTCTCGTACGTAGATCGACAATCGTCGAATACTTTGATTTCAAACAATGTGTGGCCAATACTCGTTATTACTCGTTGTGTAGATGTCGATGTGATGACCCTTTCACGAAAGGTCAAACTTGGTCTACCGCGTTTGAATATTCGACAAGAAGGCAATGACGTATCTTCTTCGCCGAGGGAAAACGAAAATCGCTACGTAAACTCATTCCGTGTGATGATTATTTATGTTAAAGTTATTCTATGAAATGATCAGTTGAATATATAGCATGTAATATTTTAACTCATCATACCGTAGTCCGCCATTTTTGAAAAAAAAACGTACGTCGATCGACCACACTTTGCATACTTCAAATTTTATCGGATTCTATCCATCTCTTTATGACCACAGTTTCACTGGGTGACACATACTTTTTAATTTCCAACCTATAACTTATACCCTCTTTATATAACTATCGGTTTTTAATATTATTCTCTCTCTCTATTTTTCTTCTAGAACAGATGAGTGATTCTGATTAGAGTGATGGAATAAAAAAAAAGTGTACAGACTGCTTGACTCATTGGAAGGAAGTAAGAAATATAAAAAAAATGAACAACGTATGTATATATATAGAATGAATTATTTTTTATTTAGCACTGTTTATTATTATTATTATTGACTTTCCTCTTTTCTGTGTTTTTAATCGAATCGTTTATGTACTCGAATTTTTCGGGGCGTTAAAAAATAAATTGAACCACGCCGCACATTTACACATCATGTACGTATTTTTCAAGATGTTAACAAATACGTATTTAATCACGCTAAACATTTACACGCTTCTCAACTATTTTCCTTAATCACATCGTATGTTTTTTTCGTGGCGTGAAAAAAATACTCAACCACGCCATAAATGTATACTCCATGTCAATATTTCATTCTTGTTTACTTCTTTTGTGTAATAAACTCCGTTAGTTTTCAAAATGCCGTGTATTTATTAGTATGTGTGTGTGTGTGTGTGGTGTAGACGTAGAAGTAGAGCCAGTAGACCAGACAT